TTTCCAAACGTTTCAAGCCATGATCCACAGCAAGAAACCCTTTACATACGAGTCCTGTAGAAATCCACCTTGAGCAGTGTCCTGAAGGAATCCCTGCCCTGAGACCACGGGACACCCTCTGTTTTCCATTTTTCATTAAGAAAATGCTGCTTGTAATCTGCTAACTTGAGCTGACATGTACTTTGGAAAATGCTGCCGGCATCCAGCTTTACCCGGTGCCACAGCCGCGGACCCAGGCTTGGGAGGGAGCACGCGTGCCTGGCCCCACAGGGACGCTGCAGGCCCGGCTGGGACTGGAACCCCACCTTTGCAGTCCCGCAGCCTCAGGCCTCGGGCTCACCCGGCGCAGTGAGGCTGCCGCGGCCCAGAGCCGGTGCTGCGGCCCCGGTAAAGGGATCACTGGTGACAGATGCTCGGCCTCCGTCGGAGCTTGAGCAGCGGGCCATGAAGAAGCTCTGATCAGAAGCCGGGGGCAGCTATGACGTAGGGGTGAAGTCCCAGGCTGGATACTGAGCGTTTTGCACAGCATGGTCTCGTCTGATCCTTTCAACACCCTGTGAGGTAGGTGGAAGGAGCCTCATTTACTGGATGATTTTGAAACTGAACCTGAGGTCTAATGACAGCAGGCCAGTTGCTCTAGCCAGGTCTTGGGGGTCCTAGACGACCCCTCCCAGCCACCCTGCGGTGCCACCTTCTTCCCAGGGAGCCCTGGGGTGCGGGTGCAGTGGCCGTTCCCCGGGGTCCTGTACAGGGCAGAAGGGCCCCCCCTTGGGGAGGCCTGGTCAAATTGGCATCTCTGGAGCGAGCATTACTGCCATGTGTTGTCGGGAAGAAGGAAGGGACTTTCCAGGTTGTCGTAAGCTAGAATGTGATTTTGATCTGGGAGCAAAGTTTCCTGCTAACCACAAGTTACAACAAACAATCCTCCCGTTTCTCTGCAGACGACGCTTTGTTCCCACTCTCAGCCCCTGGCTCAGCAGCAGAGCCACGGCTCTGCCAGTGGCTAATAGTTCAGAAGGGGGGGGGTCCTTCCAGAGTGCAAGGGCTGGTCTCCCAGTCTGGGAGCTCCGTCCTGCTTTGCCTTGCATGTCCTTTCCCCTGGGGACAGTGTGACAGAAGGGAAGAGAGAAGCTCCTGTCAAACCTTTCCTGCTGAGGTGGAAGTCCAATGTGATCAGCACCCACCTGTCCTGCAAAAGATGAACTCCAGAGGGGGCAAGGGCTTGGAGAGGGCCGCTGCCTCCCAACGTCACCAGGCCACGTGGTCCACGAGGACTGGTCCCCTGGCTGTCCACTTGCTGGGGTGAAGAATGGGCTGTGGTGTCCCCCCCCCCCC